TTATTTACACAGTTGACATCGATACTAAGTAAGTGATGTACAGTACTATGGGTAAACCGTTTGTATACATGAATATCGTTATGGTTATATAATTGACACTGTTATCAAGCAAGTGATGTACAGTACTGTGTGGGTAAACCATTTGTACACATGAATATCGTTATGGTTATATAATTGACACTGTTATCAAGCAAGTGATGTATAGTACATTTGTACACATGAATATCGTTATGGTTATATAATTGACACTGTTATCAAGCAAGTGATGTACAGTACTATGGGTAGACCATTTGTATACATGAATATCGTTATATTTAACACTGTTATCAAGCAAGTGATGTACAGTACTGTGTGGGTAAACCGTTTGTATACATGAATATCGTTATGGTTATATAATTGACACTGTTATCAAGCAAGTGATGTACAGTACTGTGTGGGTAAACCGTTTGTATACATGAATATCGTTATATAATTGACACTGTTATCAAGCAAGTGATGTACAGTACTGTGTGGGTAAACCATTTGTATACATGAATATCGTTATGGTTATATAATTGACACTGTTATCAAGCAAGTGATGTACAGTACTGTGTGGGTAAACCATTTGTATACATGAATATCGTTATGGTTATATAATTGACACTGTTATCAAGCAAGTGATGTACAGTACTGTGTGGGTAAACCGTTTGTATACATGAATATCGTTATGGTTATATAACGAATCATTTGTATAAATGAATACCGTCATCGTTATAGAATTGACGCTGTTATCAAGCAAGTGATGTACAGTACTGTCAGTAAAGCATTTATATAAACGAGGAAAGTTATGGTTATATAGTTACATAAATCAAAACATAAATAATGTGATTCTACCTGCAAAAAACGTTAGAGTGCCATACAAGTGTGTAGATATCACTGCATCATGTTGGCGCATATTGTATCAGATTTCTGTATAGATAAACCTCTGGCATGTGCCATGTGCTGTTAATGGTGCATAAACGGACGCATGGAGGTGAGGATATGGTGACAGGCTAGGCGATGTCCTACATGATCTAACCTGCACGGACGTGTTATTTTTGTGTGTCATCATCTTAATGACCCATTCAGGGGGGGTGTATGTATTCCATTACACCCTCAACACCACTATCAGCCCCCCCCCCCACACACTTCCTGATACACCCCACCAGCATTACCACCACTACCTGATACACCATCACCTCATACTCATCAAATGCATGACACCCAAGCCGCAATGTAGCTGAAATACATTGAATGATACGTATTCATATTGACTGAAAGACCGAATTATGCAAAACAGTTTCATTACGCAGTACACAGCTATGTCAGGCGAGCTGACTTGGTTGATGCACGTCATCGCTGTGTAAATCCATCCATCAATCCATACCTTCATCCATTATCCATAATCCCTCCATCTATTATCCATCATGCATCCATCCATCCCTCCATCCGTTCCTCCATCCATAATCCATAATTCCTCCCTTCATCCATCCATCCATACTTCCCTCCCTCCCTCCATCCATCGAATGTCCCTTCATTTCGAGCAGATCCAGCCTGTGACGTCTAATACTTCTGAATTACATCTGTATATTTTACATTTCACGGGAAAAAAACCCACATTAAGCTTTCATTCAAGGTGTCAAAATCAAATACCTGGACAAGCCCTACAGATAATTTAGAGGATTTTACAAAGTATGACTCTATGCTTGTCAACAGGTTGCCCAATGCGATCTGATACCGTGGCGTTCACATGGCATTTAAACGAATCCTTAATCACAAACATTCATTTTCTGAATGAGAGTTAAATTACATTTGTGACGTCATTCCATTGTCTGCTCGCTCCGTTGCCTTTCAGGAATGGAGCGATGTGTACCAGTTTCAAATTTACGACTTTTCATTTTGTCATTTTGACATTTAATTTTGATAACAGAAATATTACCAATACTTTGAATGCCTCGGCTCCATTATTTTTAAGGAATGGAGATTTACTCGGACATTACCCTCTACGTCACTTAGTGGCTGGTGCTGCTGGCATGGCAGGACTAATCATGTTAACACCCGGTGTTATTACTGATTTACGGTGATCAATTCATTATAAATTTCATTTTTCACTATTTTCCTTTTATTGCAAATGTGAATCTGTTTCTGCAGAAATGATTATGATATGTAGATTTGCCAACAGAGTAAGTATCATGAATATTTTTGGGGATATGTTTGGTAGTGGAGATTGAGCAGACGAGGTCATAACAATATCCCCCAAATATACACGATCCTTGGCGTATTTTCATCTGTATATTTGACGTTTTGAATTTTGCTTTGATTCCTTTAGGTATTTCCTTTAACGTTAAACCAATGAAGATCCGGGTTAGAATTGACCTTTAGCACCCAATGCTTGTTGTAAGAGACGACTAATGTGATAGGGTTGTCAGGCTCGCTGACTTGGTTGTGTCACATGTCATCGTATCCCAGTTGCGTAGATCGATGCTCATGCTTTTGATCATTGGATTGTCTGGTCCAGACTCGATTATTTACAGACCGCCGCCATATAGCTGGAATAGTGCTGAGTGCGGACTTAGACGACAAACCAAGCAACCAAACTTTAACGTTTACGATTTCCTTCGCAACAATTCATCAGGGAAATGTGTAATAAAAGGTGCGGAATATATTCTTAAAGAAGGAATTGGTATATTTTTGTGTTTATTCAATCACTTTTCAATTCATCTACCTATAAAACATGCTACAAATGTATGTGACATGTGAAAAATGTGAACACAACGGACAAAGCAGACTTTATGTCAAAGTGTTTTTCTATTATCAACAACTGTTACGTTGATAATAAGACAAGAAATTTTCAGTTCAAAATTCTTCATCGCATTTTAACAACACAAACTTTCCTTCATAATATAGGGATATCTGACAGCAGTCACTGCTTTTTCTGCACTGAGGAACCAGAAACACTTGAACATCTTTTCTATGATTGCAGGAAAACTCAAAATCTGATGAGACAGTTTCGAATATGGTTTGAAGAAACAACCAAGACGAAATTAAAAATATCAAAATCAATTATCTTACTTGGAGACCCCAATCAAAGCCTTCTGTTAAACCATTTGTATAACATTCTCAAAATGTATATTTATACGTGTAAACATAAAGAAACAAATGTGCATTTCCAAGGTTTGATAAAAAATATCAAGCATATTTATATTCACGGCCCTGCCAATACCACACTTAAAAATAAATGGTCAACATTGATGTCGACACTTACAGCGTAAACACGCAACCACCAACACGCCCCCTCCCCCGTCTTTCCCCCCAATTCTCATCAACTCTTTCCCCCTCTCCTGTCTTCCTCTCCCTATTTCCACACTTTCACTTCTAGTACTTATCCTATATCTGCCCTAATTTTTCAATATAGCATGTAAAGCAAATGCTGTACATTTCCGAGGAGGTTACTTTCACATCCGTGGATAAGATCTTCATCGCTATGTGAAATGGATATATTTGTATTCACATAGTAGCAGTGTAACATCTCGCTATATATATGTACTTATGTATCGGATATGTAACATCTTTCCCTATGCTAATAAAAAACAAAACAAAAAAAAACGAAAAAATAAAAAACAAAAAAACCCAAAAAAACATTTGATTGTTTTGTTCCTTTTCAGTTCTGGCTGCTTCCTTGTGCTTCACATGACTTGACAAACGTCACCAGATACACTGCCTGCTTTATGACCCAAACATATAACTCATTAGTCTTTTTTAGGCCTGAAGAATGCAGTGTGTGTATTGCTCAAATGCAAGTACTACTCGATTCATGGCTGTAGTTTCATGTCCTACTCATGACTAACAGCTCAGTCACTGACAGAATGTTGGATTCCAGAAACAGTTTATTTACCGGAATTTCTACAATAATGGGATGGCAGTTTCGGTATTAAATACAACACAAGTATCAAGGATCAAATGTTATACCCTAGAGGTGCTAAAGACGTGAATGAACATACATGGTCAGTTATCCAGATTCTTCAGTTTAATATGCGTCAAAACTTGTTGTTTTATGTTTATTTCACATCATTTAATGAATTTTATAACACAGGTGGTATTTCGAGCACAATACCATTGTAGTAATGTGAATAAGCATCGAAACACATAATAATGTGTCCATTTATATAGCGCCAAACTCCATACTAGATATGCTCATAGCGCTAACAGTCTAGGCACAGCACATTATTACCCCGGATAACCCAAGCTGCCTGTTAGGCGCTAAAAGGTTATAGTCATATGACTTTTTCCACCGGGTACCCATTTTCCTGCTGGGTGAACAGAGACAATTTTGAATTAACTCACTTGCCTAAGGTGAGACCACTTGTGTCACATGTGCTTCGTTGTGGGGCAGGACTGAAGTCCTAGAAACTCTCAGGAGTCAAGCTGCCAGACACGGTCACCCATCCAAGGACTCTCCGAGCTCGACCCTGCTTAACTTCACCGATTTGTGACCTGAGCTTTGAGCACAAGACCACGCGCCACCGCCACATCCTTACAAAACGGTAGCGCAGCAACTTACGAGGTTTTGCATGCCATTATCGGGGACCAATATTAATACGATAGGTGCTTTTGAAAAATGATTGTATCTTTAAATTCTATTTGAGGATTGTTATGAGAATTTTGACAGGACTGCGACGGTATGCTACTCACACATGATGCAATAACTTGAGACATACGTACGCTATGTAACGTAAACCTGTGTTGCATTAGATTTGACACCGCTAATACTATTTTATTACAGCATTTAGTACCGTCAAATGTACCGGTAGCAAACCCTACATTAAAAATGCCCCAATATATGTCACCATTTTAAAACTATAGAATTAAGTGACAACGTCAGTATTATTGAAAATAAGTAACAAAATGGCATGCACGTTGAGAATCTTTAAAATAACGTTTACGATATAAGTTATAATAACGAATAATTGATAACCAGATAAACAGAAAAGCGTCATGATATGATCTTCGAGTTGGGGAAGCATCACATTGTAAGATTCCTGTGACTCTTGAAATTAATATCCGCTCGATAATACGATTCAGACTGGAATGGACCTCTCTGGGCAGACTCTTTGTCCACGAGACCAGAGAGTAGGATTCGGTCCCTGTTGCAAAGAATGTTTGATATCACTGAAATCTTTGAGGCCCAGATGAAGGCATTTCCTTTTGAATCTTTACCAGAGGATATCTGACATAGTGGTACCGTTGCGTGACTCTTTCAACGAAACCACGGAGGCTGATTTCTGCACCCATTACTCCGGGCCCCGCTCCTCAAAGCGATGGTAGGGCTACGACTGTCGTTAGTCTATGTTAAAGTATGGGAGCTACGATCATCATCATGAGGAACGAGGCCTTGGTATTTTTTGTGTATTCGTGGTATATATGTAGTTATTTGTGAAATATAATTACACGTACGAATACATATCTAACTCTAGACTATTTAGGGTGAATACAATGGGTGTCACCTAGACTGTTAGTGGGTTTTGCCACAGAGGGCGGCTCCAGGCCTTGTAGCCATGTTTGCTGAAATGTAAATTATTTGTTTATATTCTTTAGTTCTTTTTCTTAAAATAAACCTCTTTGGTGAGCATAGACATAACACATGGGACTGACATCCTTCCTTTGTCGTTAGCCATCACCATCGCCAGCTTCCAAGTGACCTCTCGCAGCAACGACGTGAGCGATGTTTGAAAGACGTCCTCAGACAGCATCACCTTGGTGAGACACTGTATCATCCAAGACCCATCGTCCCTATTCCGCCATGCCGCGTGGCCTGCAACATTAACGGTGTGACAGTTGGTATACTCAGTCGGTTCACCTCAGCTTCTTCAGCTACCAACACGCAGTACATGAATACAATGTTTCGAATTAAGCCCAACTGAGTTACAAATATCAAAATTATAACACGTGTCTGTTATGTGTCTGTTTGAACATTACAAGAACACCAACATGATGGCTTAACTACAGTCAAGTCAAGTTGTTTATTTGTATGAAGGCCATTGGAACATCTCCTCATAGCATAATACGTTTACATCGAACATGAACTACATAGAATGTACATGGATTTCAGATCTACAGATTTCAAATATATTGTTCTCTTAAGATTAAACTTTGACAAACATATCTACATGAAGTATTTACACTTTGAATTCATTAGCTGTCTAAATTTGTGAATATTAACATTGTGGTGATACATACATGGTAGATAACGCTGTCTTAAATTCCTATAGTATTTACACACAAGGATAAAATGATACGTATCTTCAATTCCAGTGTTACACAATTGACATAAGCGCTAACTTAATTCAATTCCCTACCACCTTCCAAACCGAAACATGAGTCTCATTATCCAATTCAGACAATGACCTATTTTCAGCCGATCCAAATTGTCTCGTGTGAAATTGAAAAGAGTCACTACAAACAACTGTGGTTACACTGAATTCCAATTCCTTGTTTCATAAGAAAATGGTACTTACAAATTAATTTTAAGTTTGAAGTTTAAAAAAATCGTATTTCTATATTTTATGTCGAGTTTTTGGCAGCATATCGTTAACTAAGACGTCACAGACTGTCCCTGTTTGATGAGGTCGTACAATGATTCACAATTAATCTGGCTCACTGCAGGTTACACCTGATATGTGTTTTTGCGCTTATCAAATGTATTTTTGTAACGTACAATGTGATTGATATAATATCAAGTCCGTACCAGACCGCCAAACTTTTCTAGCGGCCCCGACTCGTTTTGAGATTTCCACGATTTCCGTTTGTCAGAGCATGCTGCACGACGTGTTTGCAAGGATTAGAAGGAGCGTATTGTTGCAATATACAAGTGATTAGATGTATCAAATAATACTGATTAATATTTAAATATCCAGTTGAATGAGTTGGTCTCAAAATTCGGGACTGGTTATTGTACTTAGTTGCGCAATAGGGCGGAACCCAGTCAGCAGGAAACGAGACTGCTGTGTAATCAATGTTTTGACTTGCCTCGTTAACCTTTAATTTTAAAATTCCACATCTAAGTCTTATCATTATATACTCATGCCAATAATGGTTGTCAACCCCCTCCCCACCCCAACCCCCACACACTCACACCCCTCTCCAATTAAAAAAATTGAAGGGGGTGACAACCATTATTGGCATGAGTATATTTCGTTGGGTTTTTTTGTTAATAGAGTGAGATACTTTTCTGGTTCTAATAGGCTTTTATATTGTCTATATACACTATATAGACAACTTTCTGGTATCACACCACTTGTATATACCACTTAAAACAGTTAAGAACCCTATAATGTAGTTAATCTCTCGTATGATATCATCGGGTGTTCTTTTTAGGAGTTTATAAAACACTTATAGATGGAGCAAACGTTATGACACAGTAGCACCATACACTATGGTTAAACTGTGTTTTGAAAGGATGCACGGCACTGTAAGACCCTTGTAAATTCCGTATTTCTTGAGGCACAGATTGTGACGAATTTATCTTTAAAAACCAACATCCAGTTGTAAAACGACAATAAACTCATTGAGGAAGATAACTCGTGATGGCTTCGTTTATGATAAAAATGATCGCATTTGAGGTTTTATTAAACGACAAGTGAAGTACAGAAACATTAACACATTATTGACACAAACCACAAAGACATTATGGCAACAACTGTTTTACCATAAGTTATACGACTCGTATGTGCAGTTTAATCCACGAACTGGTTGGTTATACTACGAGCCGCTTCGAGTTGTGTAACTTACTTACACTACGACAATGAAGAAAGAACTTCCTGTGTAGGTGAAAAATAACAATAAAAGTAAATTTTGACACGTACTTATTTGTGTCACAATGCTTGCGCAGGTGTAAAATTGACCGTAATTTCTATATTAAACACATGACAATATGTCATGCAACTTGTTCTCTTAACTTCTTTGTTTTGACTTAAAGTAAGTATAGGAGTTTCGTCCTCATCAAATTACAACATGATATAAAATGTTGTGTCTTTCTTGTTATTCAGCGACAGTGTGGGATGTAGTTTCTGCTGTGTTCAGTCGCACACCAGAGGTAATACGGCATAGACGTGTGGTCACGTGCAGAATTTATCGCCCAGGCACGATTATCACGTGCGTCAGTATCAACATTTGTCGTGTGGCTCGTTGTTTGATGGTTTTTACGATGTACAATGTGAATGACCGCCACCTAAAATTTATGTACAAGGTACGTTACCCCTTCATGTACAAAATCAATGACCACCCCGACCCCACTTCCAATAACTTTTAAGCATAGGTTTTTAACATTTTATGTACAAAATTGCTGACATATGTATACTTGTATATATTGTTTACATATGCAAAACTGGTCCGGGTTTCATTTTTGATGTTTTAATGAAATTATTAATTTAAATATTGATGAATGGAAAAATTAATGTACTTACTAATATGTATTTTTCAGGTTTCTACACAAACCATTCATTGAGGGCAACACGTCCAACAACGGGGTGGATGAGCAGTTGATCGCACGAACCGCTGGGTAAAGAAGCAATGCAGTCAGCGAGTACAAAAGTGTAAACGAGCAACAAGAGGAGAAGGTGAGCAACATCCTAAGCCGCGGGAGAAAACGGGGTCATGAAGGCTCTGCGAGGGGGACGTCTGTAGCGACCAGAACTGGGATACGACCAGAACTGGGATAAACAGTCCACAATTTCGTAAAACCCTATTTACTGCAGTAATGCTCCCAGTTAACTCTAAAACTTAAGGCGATCTATGTGCGGAATATGATTTAGTTAATGTTTTTGTGAGGAGACACTGAAAATTATCGGTTACATATTTCCATATTCCTCTGCAAATATGTAGCTCACATTTAATTTTCGAATATAGGTTGGAAGAACCTTAAGAGTTTCTAATTATTTTTGTACTCGTCAGTTATTTAATCGTTTATATCGTGTGGCAATTCCCACTCAAGCAAACCTCTCATGGTGTACGACGTTTCATTTTCATTAACTGTGTTGTTTTATAATGCAAGCATCATGTAATTTACATAGCGTAATAAATATCATATAATCGGCCACGTTAATGGAAATAGTTCAAACACCCCATTGTGTTCTGAAATAATTCTGATTTTTGTCGTAATAAGCTATGTAACTATGAAAACGTATTCAGGTGTTTGTGACCGAATTTGCCGCATTTTAATTGATCCTTTACTTTAAATTTGTTCTGGGGAGGTAGAAGGGACATCTATTTTGTACACAAAAACTAGGGGTGGTGTGTGTGTGTGTGAGAGAGAGAGAGAGAGAGAGAGAGAGAGAGAGAGAGAGAGAGAGAGAGAGAGAGAGAGAGAGAGAGAGAGAGAGAGAGAGAGAGAGAGAGAGAGAGAGAGAGAGAGAGAGAGAGAGAGAGAGAGATAGATAGATAGAGGATAGATAGATAGATAGATAGATAGATAGATAGATAGATAGATAGATAGATAGATAGATAGATAGATAGATAGATAGATAGATAGATAGATAGATAGATAGATAGATAGATAGATAGATAGATAGATAGATAGATAGATTCTCCATATAGATAGATAGATAGATAGAGAGATAGATAGATAGATAGATAGATAGATTGATAGATAGATAGAGGCTGAGGGAGGAGGGAGGCAAGGGGTATGTGTCGGATATATAACTTCCATCACAGAGGAGGGAGGGAAGGGCGTATATCGGATATATTAATAGAAGAGGCCAAACCTGTTCCACGTCCATAAGTAATCTCTACTAAAAGCAGAGTCGAATGTACAATTCTGACTATATCATGAGCATGTATTTGTTTCAGCAGTTTTACAGGTGTGCGATGTTGTTGGTAAACTGTCATTGATTGTCATCATACGACATCTCACAGAATGAAAGTCGGGAAGGGTATATCGGATATATACTTACACCACACAGAATGAAAGTCGGCAAGGGTATATCGGATATAAAACTTACACCTCACAGAATGAAAGTCGGAAAGGTATATCGGATATATAACTTTATCCTCACAGAATGAAAGGCAGGAGAAGGGTATATCGGATATAAAACTAACCCACACAGAATGAAAGACGGAAAGGGTATATCGGATATATAACTTACACCACACAGAATAAAAGTCGGGAAGGGTCTATCGGATATATAACTTACACCACACAGAATGAAAGTCGGCAAGGGTATATCGGATATATATCTTACACCTAACAGAATAAAAGGCGGAAGGGTATATCGGATATATAACTTTATCCACATGAAATGAAAGACGAGAAGGGTATATCGGATATAAAACTAACCCACACAGAATGAAAGGCGGGAAGGGCCTATCGGATATATAACTTACACCTCACAGGATGAAAAGCGGGAAGGGTCTATCGGATATATAACTTGCACCTCACAGAATGAAAGACGGGAAGGGTCTATCGGATATATAACTTACACCTCACAGAATAAAAGGCGGGAAGGGTATAACAGATATAAAACTAACCCCCACAGAATGAAAGACGGGAACGGTCTATCGGATAAAAAAACTAAGCCACACAGAATGAAAGGCGGGAAGGGTATATCGGATATATAACTTACACCTCACAGAATGAAAGTCGGCAAGGGTATATCGGATATATAACTTACACCTCACAGAATAAAAGGCGGGAAGGGTATATCGGACATATAACTTACGCCTCACAGAATGAAAGACGGAAAGGTATATATCGGATATATAACTTTATCCACATGAAATGAAAGACGAGAAGGGTATATCGGATATAAAACTAACCCA